GATTAAGGTATATTTCGCGTTAATTCAGTGTTTTGATGGTTTGACATGAAGATCTTGACAAGATCATAAAGTTTAAGTTTTAATAAAATTCTAAAACATCATAATTAGGAAAAGAAAATGCGAGAATACAAATTCATTTTCTAGGAATCTAGATTTTTCCATTCTGGTAGGACAACCATATTCTCTCAGTATTTAAATGCAACTCCTGCACAGATGCTGCCTAGGCTGAACACTTTCTGAGCAGGGTTCACATAGCAAGAGATTCCATAGATGTCGGAAATAGAGATGGTTCACTCTGCTGAATCTTCTATACGTGTTTCTCTTTTTCATAAAAGGTTCTTCATCATCAAAACGATATTTTATTTTTCCTTTGCGATTGCTGTAGGATAATGGGCAGGGGCAGCAGTCCAACAGGTGGCATGGCTACATAGATTGGAGAAATAGATCGGCCATAAAAGGCCGTCATGAAGGCATGATTGCTGCCTCTTTCATCTTAGGTTAGTCTCTAAAGTGACATTTATTACTTTTCACAAACAACCGGAACACTCTCTACATCACGTTTGGTATAGTAGATTAGACCAAAAAAAAAAAAAAGAGCTAAAATTTTGATATTGACTACCCAGTATGGTCTAAACATGCACTGTGATGCTAATCAAAAGCATGAACTTGATTACCAATTACTTCCTATTGCAAACTTTTAGTTGTGGAGGTCTTGGAGAACCCAGCATACGTGGCCAATGCAAGCAACTTGCTTCTTTATTTGTCAAGATTCATGCACTTCTCTCCATCAAGCTCAGCCAACATTGTCACAAACTTCATGGGCAAGGCCTTCCTCCTTGCTCTCCTTGGAGGCTTCTTATCTGATGCCTACTTCACCACGTATCGCATCTATATAATAAGCGCAATGACAGAATTTCTGGTAAGAATAGGACCCAGCTTCACAGCTAATATTAGACTATGTATTCATATTCCTCCATTTGAATACTCAATAAAATAACTTTGGAAAACATTTCGTATTCTTCTGCCAAAAATGCGAATGTCTAGATTATAATAAGTCTTCGAAGAGTATTATTAAAATCTACATCATATGAACTGTCACACAAATGGCAAGGCATAAATAAAGTCCAACCAGTGCAGGTTTAAGAAACAAGACAGTTTCATATCAGAGGCAGTACCAGCATAACTGAAATCAATAACGAATTAGATCACCCCCTCTATGGGCATCTAATTTTCTACTTCAGGGTCTATGACCCAATGCAGAGACTAATTACAATTATATACTGGATTACTTCAAGGAAATAGAATGTTTTACCTAGCTAATATACCACCATACATGAATTTAGTGAAAACAAGAACTTAACCATAATATACATAAATGACAACTGAAAATGGAAGGCGTAAGATATTAAAAAATTCAAGAGCCTTGTCACCAGTTTCTGTTCAATCAAAATTTGTGGATCGCTAAAAGTATATATACCTATTGCTCTTTATAATGCTTGAGAGTTGAGATGTAAGAAGTGCACTATCACTTTCAACGCTAATATCCTCGAATATGACAGATGTCATTGTCATTGGTAATTCAGAATAGGGAAATGCAAAATTTCATTGGTGCTTCACATTTCACAGGTCTTGGGTTATTCACTTGATTAACATAAAACAGGACTAAAGTCCATCAACAATGCAGATCACTACTGAGTCATGTGAGGTCTTTAACGTACTTTTGACTGACTGTAAATATTGGAACAGGGTTCGGTAATACTCACAGTGCAAGCTCAAATACCTTCACTGAAACCACCAATATGCCCTTTAGTTGACAGAAAAATAACTTGCAACCAAGTTGACAGGGGGAAAGCTATAATGTTATTTGCCGGCCTCTATTTGGTGGCACTAGGTGTTGGAGGAATTAAAGGTTCACTTCCCCCACATGAAGCTGAGCAATTTGATGAGAAGACACTTCATGGAAGGAAGCAGAAATCGACATTCTTCAATTATTATGTGTTCAGCCTCTCCTGTGGAGCACTGACTGCAGTAACATTTGTGGTGCGGGTAGAAGATAACAAGGGCCGGCAGTGGGGTTTCGGGATCTCAGCTGCAACGATATTGATCTCTATACCAATTTTTCTCCTCGGCTCAACTACTTACAGGATCAAAATCCCAACAGGAAGCCCTATTACAACTATATTTAAGGTATGTCTTTAGC